TGCTGTGCTTCATACAAACACTCTGACCCTGCTGTGATAGCAAAGAAGACTGTGTTTTGGCTTCTCTGACCCGGTCTAGCAGAGCCTGGGCACTGAAGAAATGCTAAGGAGGAGCGCTAGCTGTGGTTCGGGGGCAAATAAGTCTCTTGGCTGAGTCTGATTACCCACTTGGAATATTTGTATTTCATTAGAACTGACACCGAGAAGCATGTTTGATTTGGAATGAATTCCAAGCAGGAACAAGTTTCAGCATCTGCATTTCCACTGTCAGCGTGATGAGGGACAAAACAGGTTAGAGCCTGCTTAGCCAAGGGTGGGGACCTCTTGGCAGGGGAGGGCAGTGCGTGAATCAGTTACAAGGGAAGGGAAGGAACAGCTTGGAGAGCTGATCTTCCTCCCCTTGCAGAAGGGGAATTCTAAGCACCCAGTATCAGGTGTGTGTCTGAGGGAGCTGGGGAAAGCCAGCTCCTCCCCCAGAGTGGGAGGCCGTACCTGGTGATTAACTCACAAGCAGAGGAGTGGAGCTCATGCTGAGTCCTGAAGGAACCTGTTGGGCGGAGCTCTGGAGTGCAGGAGGGCTAGGAAAGCCCTGGAGTCGGACAGAGGACTAATCCAGCTGGAGAGGCGCTTCTTAGCATCAACAGCTCCAGTCATGTTCAACTACCTAGCAGTAGAGGTGAGACCCCAGTTCCACCGCAGCTATGGGGGCCAGCAAGGGGCGCCTGGGCCACTGAAGAGCCGCCTAGAGCAGCTGAAGAAGCCGTGGTGGAGGGAGCCCACCCCTCTGGTGCTCCAGCACAGCGAAACAGCCAGGCTTGCCATAGATGCCTTTCTTGAGCAGGGGGAACGCGGCTACCTGGGTGCCATCGCCGAGGAGCGGGAGCTGCCTTTTCTTTCCAGCCTGGACATGGAATATATGAACCATCAGAGAAACCAAAGCTTTCTGGATCCCTGTGCAATGAAAGACAAAGAGGCTGATGCTTGCGATGCCGACACTGGAGACAGGTCCTCCCTCAACTCTGAGCTAACGTCTGGCACCTACTTCCCGCTCATGTCTGATGTGCACCCTCCAGAGCTGGAGCTGGGGTGGCCAGGGATGCCGCTCCTCACAGTGTCTGGCCAGACTCAAGCCACTGTGATTTTCCAGCGAAACAAAGCTAACAGCATTAAGGATTTGCTCCGGTCTCTGATCAGCCGGGCACGGACGGTACGTATAGAGCTGTGTCCCTTGAGTGGGCTTTTGTGCCGCAGCACCCGAGTCCTGGTGGCTGGTCCCACTTGCTCCACGCTGTTGCTGCTCCCCAGATGCCTGGCACAACGTGACTGCTTTTTCTCGATCAGATCTATAACTGTTCCTGCTCCTTTCCTTTCCTGTAATTTCTTTCCACCTGGGATTTTGTGTCACACAGGCAGCGCCCTTTAGGGCACTCCGTGCTTCTATTTGTGGGTACCACAAGCCTGGAGCGAGTGAGCGGCAGGGTGCACAGCCTTAACGTGTAGCTGTCCTCCACCAGCGAGAGCGTGCCAGCCTGCCCTTCTGCCCTTCTGCCCTCTGCCAGGGAGTTTGCATGGCCGGGGCTTCTCTCCACCCCTGGACATGGTGTTAAGCAGGACAACCAGTGGTGAGTTGCTGCAGGAGAATGTAGGACCTGAGCAAACGTGTGGGACTGAAAATCCCTGGCTGTGGGTTGAAGTCGGTTAGAATACATCATCCTGTCTTGCAGACTTGCTGTCGGTGCCTCTCTGAGGATGAGTAAGATCAGCTCCTTTTGCCCCATCACACAGTTTCTGCCGGGTAGAGATTGCCAACCCTCGGATGTAATAAAAGCTGGGCAATTACAACCCTTTGCAGTACAATACCCTGCCTACCGAGCACAGTCCTGGTGTGAGTTTACTCACTAAATGGTGCTCCTTCTTGTTTCTTTTTACTTTGCCACTATACTGGGTACTAAAGCAGCAGCTCAGACAAACATCTCTCAGACACATTTTCAGCTTTTGTTGTCTTTGTCCTCTTTTCATCTGCCCCACACTAATTTTCTTTTGTAGTATTTCATTTCAATAGCATGGTGATATCGCATAAAATTTCAGTGCAAAGTTCACTTTTAACCAGTCAGCTTCCAGGCAATTTCTGTCACTCCAGTAGTTTCTTATTTAACTTCACAGCCACTCCTTAAATTCACCATTGCCTAGTGCAGAAAGCGGAAGATTGTTAAGGATTGTTAAACCTGGACCTCAGCTGTGTCAAGGGTACGCACTGTTTCCAGGCGGGCTGAGCCAATGTGCAATCTTCTGTCCCCACCTCTGGAGCTGAGCGTACCAAGTTGTGTGGTCCCCAGCAGATGAAACCAGGGCCCTGCAGCAGTTCACATTGCTCTGCAGTGTCACCGAAGAGCCACACAGTGCTGAGATTCAGGCGTGATAGGAGGTGAATGGGGATCTTCTTTCCTTTTGCCACGGATGTTACCACTCAGTTGTAAGTGGCCGCTACTTAATGCTGGAACTTCTGTCACACCTTTGTAGGCAAATACGGGAAGTCTTGTCCAGGAAGTAAGCAACAAAAAGCTTTGTTTGTCCTTGCAGGCAGCTGATTTATGATATCTTAAATGATCTGGAAAGTCCTGTGTCCTCTTCAGCAGCAGGGATTACGACAGTCATGGCTGAATGCACAAAGTAAATGACAAGGGGAGGTTTTTTGGTAGTCACTTAGCATGACTCCCGGATCTCTGACGATGTTATGATCCTTCAAACCGCATGAAAAACATCTTGCTGCTTTCTCAGTTCCCAGGAACTCCTCTCTTGCTGCAGGGACGTGGCCCAGGCAGGAGGTGCTTTATTGTACTTTAAGTACATTTTGAGCTTTGTACTTGGGAAAGCACTGACCATCTTCAGCCCTTTACGTTCAAGCTGGGGATTTTCACACAGTGTTTTTGACCATTGCGTGAAATGTGAGAATCGGTTTTCCACCATCTTGTTGGTTTATTACTAGTGGTTTATTGGCTCCTAGATTAGCAGCTCTGGCCAATGCTTCCCCTGATTAACTGTACGACTGGCAGCAGTGCCAGCTCCTTCAAAACCCCAGTTACACACCTTTAAGTAGTTACTGAGTAATTTTGCTCATCAAACCATCCAAAAGGCTGTTATCTGTGTGTCTTTTAATGATAAAAGAGCAACCAGAAGTAAAAACATCCTTTGCCTTAAGTGCCAGTAGCAACCATCCGGGGAACCGCTTGGTTTTTTGCTTTTCAACTGCTGTTTCTGCATTTCAAACATTTTCCCCACCAGACTTTAATCCCTCCTTCAGAGCATTTCTCCTCCTGCGTGCTTATGGCCAAGACAGAGGGGGGGGGACACAGGGCTGGGGGGATGTGGGAAGATGTTGAAATCCTTGAATGCTTTTCCTGGGCACGGTAGACAGGAGGGTGTGCATCTTGGGGTGGTGTTTGCTGGTTTTGCTTCTGTACAGCCGTATAGAACCACATCAGCTGATGTATTTTGCAATAGCACATGGGGACTGACAAATCAGCAAAAAGGGCATTTGATTTATTGGTACTGGTGCAATTTGTCTTTCTACTTTGCTGTATTTAGCCAACTATCTTTGAAGATGATGAAGATTTGAGCTTTTCTCTTTGCAGCCATAAGGAGATGCAGCGCAGCCACACCTTAGCCTTCATTTGATAATACTATTACAATTTTACTGTTGTTGGAGTAGCTCCAACCTATTCTGAACTGTCCATGCTGCTGCTTTCCCCCCTCTCACACAGCTCTGACACTGGCTGCGTGTGTGCATTTACGTGTGGTGGTAGAAGGGTCCCCAATGGTCCCCCCGAGAAGCAACGTATTGCTTCAGATGGCAGCACTACAGTAATGACCAAACGCACACTGCTATTGGCAAATACCAGTAAAACCAGCTGCGCTGGTTGAAACCAGACAGATGGCAACCCCAGTGGGGTGCTGGTAAGCGCTGTAATTCCCAAAGCGATGACTGCAGTAATTGCTGAATTGTGAGTTTCCAGGAGTGGATTTAGAAATGTCACGGTTTAACCCTACAATAGCAAGGTGTGAATTTTCTAGAGCCTGCAGGGCAGCCGTGCCTTTGTAGTGTCCTGACCCACCAAGGCTGTGCCATGGACTTGGAGGCAGTGATCAGCATGGTGAATAACAGGGATGCTCTGAGCCAGCCCCAGCCGTGCAGCTCCCACCACTGAAACCGAGGGGCTGGAGGCACTGGGCAGATGTTGCTTAGGTTTGGAAGGCCAGATTGACTTAAATACCCAAGGCTTTTAAATGTGAGACATGAGGAGTCAGGAGGCTGAGATGGAGATGGTACTTAGGTACCTAACTTCCACTGCTTTAGAGAGCTGTTGGAAATCATCTTTGAGGCTTTAGACCTCCCTTTTGTGATTATATGTTCTTAGGAGGCTTCAAGGGGAAGACTTCCAAGGTTGTCATCTTCCCCCAAAACGTCTCGGCTTTGGGATTGAGCTGATGTTATTATAAGAGCTGCCTGCTTTGTTTACTGAGAGGATATGGTGACCTGAGTGGCCCCGTACGGTTGTCCTGTGGCACCCATGCTTAGAATGAGCAGCCCCACCATGGGTGCCTGCATCTCCACTGCACGAGGCTATGGCAGGGCACATCCCCTCTCTCCCTACTGCAATGCTCCTTGCTGCAAACTGCAGCACACGTGGGCTGACAGCCTTCTCACCCAATGTCAGCTGTGGGTGCTTGCCAGCACCACCAGGACCAAATCCCTCCCGTGAAGGGTTTGCATGTGAGGAGGCCGTGAACAGAGCCATAGCCTGCTCTACCTCCTGATGCCAGCAAAGACCTGCTTCGGAAAACATGAGTCTGACTATCACGCAGGACTCCACCCAGCTTGCACAAGCTGGCGTCCCACTGCCTGGGGCGCTTGCTCCTGCACTGACGCCTGAGCCCTGCCATGAGGCTGCCAGGAGATGCAGGTCTGCCAGGCAGCCAGCTGCATCCCGCCCAGGGCACTGGGTGCCACAGGCGACTCTGTGCCACATGTTGCCATGCGCAGCCCCGCTACTGCCTGCTTAGCCCCATCCCTTTCACGGTGAGCACTGCAGATGGGCAATGCTGGGGTTTGGGCAAGCAACAGCCCCAAACTCCACCAAAGCCTGCAAGCACGGGTAGAGAAAAGCAAGATGGTGTGGACCTTCTGCACACACTAGGTGCAAGCAGTGCCTTTGAGCATGTGAGGTCTGGGGACAAAGGGGCATCGGTCTGTCTTGACTCCATCACATTGACTTCCCAAGCCAAGTTTAGATTGTCTCCAGGGCCAAGCCTGCCTCAGACCTAAGCTCGAGATGAGCTGGAATATCGGTGAGGCAAGTGTGGCTGAGAGGGACTTGCCTGAGACCTTACACAATGTTTGGGCTATGTTTTTTTTCTTGGTGCTTCATCATTAGAGGACAGGTGACCCATCACAGTCATTTGGCTAAATTGCCTTTGGTCTTTGGCTGAAGGCCAACATGGAAAGACATAGTGAAGACCCACTTTTTTGTGGGGGTATCAGTGGTGCCGAATGCTGATACCCCAGCAGCAACATTAATTGGGGAAGTTGAAGATATTTCTCACTGCTTTCAGAGCTCTTCCAGGGCTGACTCTGCTGTCCATGCCAGATGGTCGCATTTCAGGAAGGGAGAAGAGTTTGCCAGAGCCTCATAAGTCTTTTGGGAAGACAGCACTGACAAGGGCTACAGAAGAGGTGCCCTTCGGAGTCAGGCTCTGAAGCCTGTATCTCCCAGGGCCAGGGTGAAAGGGTAGAGATGTGGATTTGGCCTGGAGAATAGGAACAATTTTTAGCTCTTGATGACAGCTGCCATGTGTCCCACGTGGATGCCTGGGATCACACCAGCCTCCAGGAAAGTTCTTCCCCAACCCCTGCGGGAGGTGGGCTGGGCTGTCTTCTGCAAGACATTGAGGAACAATGACAGTGCATAAGGCGTCAGCACAGAGATGGTCTTTGGGGACAAATCAGATAGAGCCAGGAAATCTTGTCCATCTGCAAAAGGGATAAATCCCAAAGGGAGCAGGAAGCAATCTTGCTGCCACCCTCTGTCGCGGCTCTGGTGCAGAGGGTCTCTCCGTGGTGTGTGCAGGCAGAGGGGGCGGGAGAGGACGGGGAAGCCAATGGAGCCCCACTCTGCCCATGGCAGTTGCCTCCACTCAGCATCTAAGGCCATGAATGTGAGCCTGGAAAGAGGCAGTTTATGAATAGAAACAGAGCAGAAGAGCTATTGCGCAGTGGGCGATCTGGGGCCAGCATGCCAGCCTGGAGTAGAGACCTGAGCCTGTCCCCACATCCAAGGACAGCAATACCTGGAGCTCCTCTACTCTTTTCTGAAGCTATTCCAGGTCAGACCTGTGAATATGATTCAGCCTGTTCCTATTGAAAACTTGAACCACTGCACACATAAAAGTCAACATCGCTGCTGTCCTCTGCATTTAACTCTTTGTTTGAAGAGGCGCAGCTGAGCAGAAGCGGCTCACCCTACATGGTCCGCTCTGTCAGGTGCTTTGGACTATGGAGAATTGCATTCATGGCCCTGTTCTGACACAGGCAGAGGAGGTGTTTGAAAAAAGGATTCCTACCTCCTCATGGGGTGCCTGATGAGCAGCAGAACAAACTGTCAAGCATTTTGTGTGTGAGGCGTAGTGCAGGGCGTGAACGTTGAGTAGCAGTGTAAAGTAGGCCATTGGAGCTTCACTCCAAAACTCAGTGCTTTTGGGGTCATCTTTATTTCGGCATCCTCTACTAGGTGTAGAAACTCAAAATCAGAGTTCGGCACACGAGTTACAAGTACCGGTCACCTTATTTACTGCTAAGATATGGTAAAGACTGGGACGAAAGCACTTGATCAGTAGTTCCATTATTTTTTCAGCTTTTGAAATGAAGCTGGCCTGTCGGTAAATCCTTCACTACTTCACCTTTTTCAGTCCTGCAGTGTGTTGCCATCTTCCATGAGTTCTCAGTGTTAACTGTTCATGGTTCAAGGTCTAAGTCACCAGATTGCTCTACAAGCACCCTCAGGTGAAGTATGTCAGGCCTGGCAAATCATCCAGCTCAACAAGTGCACTCCTGCCTGTTCCTTCCTTCTCCAAGATGTCCCTCTGATTCCTGTCACTAATGTTGATGCCAACAGATGGTTCCCAGCAGTCCCTTCCTGATCCAAATAATGGCTGCCTTGATGTTGTCTGCTGGCAGCCTCACACTGTGGGGAACAGTGGAACAGCTTCTCCAGTCACCTCTTAATCTATTTGTGGTTGATTTCACTTGATCCGTTGTTCTGGTTGCAGGTCATACCATACTTTGAATTTTCTAGTTCTGGGTCAGCTCACTTCTAGTAGGTACTTGTCATGGCCTACCTTCCATTTTCTGTATTTTCCTTCCAGCTTCCGGAGAGTTCATTTAGCCAGGATAGTCTGCTGCCTCCCATCCCAGCTCCACAGTGGGATGGGTTGCCATGGCCACCTTCGATCTCATTCTTTAAAGAACTGGCATTTCTCTTTAAAATTCTTTTCCTTTTCAAAACCCCACCCTTGGAAACCTTATGTCACCAGTCTTCACTTTATGGAGATAGATTTTCTTGAGTTAGTTTGGGTTTTTTTTAATGATGTTAGTGTTGTTCCTTCCTCCTACTGTTACGTTTCATGCTGCTTGCATCCTGGGCTGCAGTAGCAGGAGTGCTGCCAGCAGGGAAAGGGAAGGGATCCTTCCCACACATGTTATTCTACAATTTTGTCTAGTTGCCCCTGGATGTAATCTTGGAACAAGGGCACGTATGTACTTGATCAAGCTACCTTCTCCCTTACCTGGCAGCAGGTCCCTCCTGAAAAAAATGATACTTCTTTATATTACTGTGCTAGTCACCTGTGGAGTCACTCATACCGACTGAATAATGATTTTGGTCAGTCTCAGCTCTCCTGTTTATGTGCTCTATTTCTGGCACATTTGCTCACGGCAATACGTACTTGTTGTATCAGTGACATTCAGGGCTCGTGCACACGCATTACCCTTTCAGCTACTTCTTTCTGTGAGTGACAGATGAGACAGGAGTAGCTGGGTGGGGAATCTCGTTGTAGTTATTAAATGTGGTTTTACCTGCCATGGTGGGGTAAGGGCTGTTAAACACAAAGGTCCAGAAGCAAGGTCCACTTGTGTGGCCACAGACATTCAGTAACTCAGGAGGTTTGCATACTGAATTCGAAGTTTAAAGCACAATTCAGTTGGGCATAAGATTTCAACAGTCTCTTGTTTTTCCCCCTCCCCACCTCTTTTCTCCTGGCTAGGTGATAGCAATTGTGATGGATCTGTTTACAGACATGGAAATACTGTGTGACCTGCTGGAGGCCTCAAGCAGACGGCATGTCCCTGTGTACCTGATCCTGGATGAAGAGTACTTGAAGCATTTTGTGGAAATGTGCAATAAAATGGCTCTTACTCAGGACAACTTCCCAGTAAGTTATTGGTAACACACTGGATATGATAAACAGGTCTTGGAATTGATAAAAACCCATGTACCCTTTGTTCTGTTCCCTCTGGCTGGTCCCTAGGGCCTATCCCTTCTCCCACTGTCCCAGGGTAAGAGACCATGGCTGTTTGGTCTAGGAAATCAAGGTCTGTCTGGAAGCACAGGAGAAGGAGTGGAGGAGCCTCCTGGTCCTGTATCTTGATGTTTTGTGGTCCTCATTTCAGTTTTACACCCAAGAAGTGTGAAGATGAGGCCAATAAGATGTGGTGCATTACTGAACGCTTTGCTGGGCTGGTGCTGATAGGCAGACAGAGGCAGACCAGAACGCTTACCTTCATGTGGACCTGCATCATCTCCTTTCCTTACCCCTCTCAGCCCCTGCTCTGGGACATAGAATTGTAAGATTAAATTGCTCATAGTTCAGTTCCCTGGGCTCAGCTTAGATCCCGGCCGGAGCCGCTGTAGTGCAATAGCTGGGTGGGGAGGGAAACAGTGAGTCCCTTCAGCTCTCCTGATGCAAACCCCACCATTTCTGCCTAGCCCTGCTGCGCTGCCTTAGTGTAAAACCACCCATTGAAAATCTCAAGATCTGCTTTTAGGCTCTGTGATTCACTTGTGGGTTCGTGAGGAAGAGCCCGATTCCCCACGTGGTGGGGTGCCCATCGGCAGAGCAGGCAAATCATAAAAATGGACTTGTCAACGCGACCAGCTCTCTTGGGAACCTGCAGACTCAGAAATGCACCCCAGTATCTTGCTGCTCCCCATGCTGCCTTTCTGGCTACCACAGATCAATGGAAGTTGTTTTTTTGTTGCTGTTTATTAGTCCTGCGAGGCCAGCAGTCCTGGCTGTGCTCCTTCACTGGAAGCATAGGGTTCCCTGGAGGACTGATTCTTTTCCAGCCACCAATTTCATAGGTTTTCCTTTTATCCTGGTGGGGAACACTTGGGAGTTATCCAGTTACCTCAAAACCATTCTTAACTAGAAAACAGGCTAGGGAAAATGCAAAAATAATGTTTTACGGCATTCAAAATAGATGCAGTTACAACTGTCTTAATTTCCCCTCATTTTTAACCTGCCTACACAAAAGTTAATTTAGAGAGGCTTCCTTCTCCCCCCCATGTTGGTGATGCTCCGTCCTTTCTTGCTTCTCACACGCCAGGCCCATTTCATCCCACCTCTCAAGATGGCAACTGCTTCATGCTGGGGCACGTTTGCTTTCATAAATGACTGCATCACCGAAGGTACCTGGTGGACCCAGATAAATTCCATCTCTCCAAACTTTGTTTTATTTGCTTCTTATCCAAGAGCCTGGCCATTGTTTTTAATTAAAATTAGAATGAGTTTACATCTATAGAGATGTCTATGTCTCTTTGTTAGACCTGACGTCATGTCTTGTGCTTGAATGGCTAATTAACGCTTGCCTCCCCGTTCAGTGACTCACTGGCAGGTCTCAATGAGGAGTGCCTCTTAGGCTGATGCATCCCAAGTGGTACATTAACATACGTGCTTGATATTCACATCTAAGTGGAATGAGTGTATGTATTTTATTCCTGGCTCTGAGTTGCAACAGGATGTTATGGTAAATCTCCATTTGGAATAATTGGTGACAATTTGGGGTTTAATGGAAAATTTGGGGCTATTGCCCCTCCAGCACCTTACTTCTAAGAACATTGTGTGAAGCCTGCTGGTGTCAAATCCTGGTCCTGAACATCAGCAAATCCCACAGTGGTGCATCGAGCATCAGCAGTGGTCACAGCAGGAGACTTAACTGTTGGATTTTTTTCAAATGGCCATGTGCCAAACCTAAAACTACTGTCTTAAGTTGCACAAGAGTGGTACCTGGCAGTCTGGCTTTCCTGCAGGACCATGGGATTCTCAACTTTTTTGGACAATCCTGGGCCTGGATTGCCAAGAGGAAGAAGAAGATGGGAAAAAAAGAGCCAGATAGCAGAAACTCACCCAGGCTTGGAAAGGATAGAGGGAGTGAAGAAATACTGTGGTGACAAATCTATGGGATATCCCTTACTTGAAGTGGTTTTAACTTCCCGGGGGGTTGGGAGGGTGGTGGGATGACAGGAAGCTCCTCCCAGTGAGAACTAGTATTAGTAAAACCTCAGTGCTGGAAGAAAAAAATCCCTGTGTTGACTGGCAACAGGATTAGATGAACACCTCCCCAAGCACCCAGCGTATCGTGCTCTGTATCAGCAACTCGCGGTGCTGTTTCAGAGTGTCACAGGGGAATGCAAGTTGGCAGGGACCTCAGGAAGTCCAACCTCCTGCTCAAAGCAGCGCTACCTGTGAGATCAGGCATAGCTGCTCAGGGCCTTCCTTACCTAGTCTAGCCTTGAAAACCTCCACACATGACCTCTCTGCGTAACTTCTTCCAGGGCATAACTATCGTGGGGAAGAAGTTTCTGCCTTCTCATAGGTGACAGATGAGGACGTGTTCTGTGACACAGGAAGGCAACAAGTGAGACCCACAGTGCAAAGATTGTGAAGCTTCAGCTCTGTCCCTGCTAAAAGTTTCCATGAACTCCAAAGAAGACTGGACAAGTACTTGGAGAAGAGGTCCAGGGGGGGTTCCCGCTAAGACAAACCACAAGAAAATCCCCTGAGCAGAAAACAGAGTCAGCAGCAATCTTGGGGAGCGGCATCGTAAATGGTTGCCTTCTTCCCACTCTTCCCCAGTGGCCATTGCCCACTGCGAGAGATGGACTGTTGGGTCACATGGGCCCCAGCCTGGAGGAGCTTTGTTGCTGTTATGAAGCCCTGAAGGTGATGGTCCTCCCTGGCTGGGCAGGGAGGCTTTCTCTGGGTGACGCGAGAATCAAGCGATTCCCACCCTGCTGCAATGAGCTCCCCAGCAGATGTTTCTGAGAAGCCCACCCCCTGCCCGCAGGGACTCTGACGGAAGAGGAAAGCCATCAGGAATGGAGTCACCTGCTGCAGGGTGACTGTCTCCTGCTCCTCACCCCCGAGGCACGACTTCCGTGCCCTGAACCCCATGTGAGGCCAGAGACGGGGCGAGCCTGTCCCTGGCTGCATGCAGGCGGCTGGGGGAGCCCATGCATGCCCAACCTGCCCAACGGCCATGGGTCTTTGTCTTTTTGTGGGGCTGATGCTAGGCAGGAATGAGCTGCCCAGGAAGGGCAAACAGGCTGGGCTGGACGCAGGCAGTGACAGTTGGTGACAGTTCCTGGTGTGGGGATGCCACCGCAGGTGGCAAGGGAGCTGCCCCTCCAGGCCAGCTGGAGGGGGCAGCTCCCTTGGGGCACCCCTGGGGGGGGTCTGGCAGGCCAGCGTGGGGGCAGCCTTGGGGACGTTTTAGTTACACAGGAGATGTTTTCCTTGGCACTGTACCGTATAGACCGGGCCAATAACTGAAACAGTGGCTGTTGTCCTCTTCTGCCTCCCCAGCTGAGGTGCAAATAACTTTTATTATGGGCAAAAATCTCACATTTACCGAAAAGGCTCCTGATGGACACTGAGGGTCTTATTTCCCATTTTACAGGTCAAAGCTGTGTCAGAGAAGTCCTTTACAGCCTTTTAAAACAGATGAGGATCAGGTCTGTGTCACTCGAGTACCACAGCTGAAAATTTTAATATAATTTTTAAATACACAGATAAAAAGCAGTTCTTAAAATGCAGGCATACCTTTCTGTAAATCTTTTTTACTGAGCGATATTTTGGTTTTTAAGAAGCCTGTCACTGTGTAAAATCAGAACAGCGCGTTCAATTGATTAGAAACAGGTGAGTTGCTATGGGTCAAAACTGAATTTAAATGCAGAGCCATCACCTGGTGTGGTTAGGTTAATGTTATCAATAATCTGAAAGAAATTGTGTAGTCTTACATACTTCAGAAATTATCTGTAGGCTTGTAGGAGTCTCCAAATTTTTTTTCAAACCAGCATTTGTACCTAAGTGCAACTTGTTAATATTTGCTGGTATTTCTATCTGGTAGAAGCAGACAGTGTGACAAGATATCTGGTTTGTAGAAGCCGAGAAATACTTCATGTCTTGCTGCGTTCTGCCTCTGGGAGAAGAGCTCTGGCTTGAGGGAGACCAGCTGTGAGGCATAAGGGAATGTATTGGTTTCGTTCAATATGTGTCCCCTTACCAGCTCTGCTTTCTTTGGTTTCAGAACATGTGCATAAGATGTCTGAGTGGAGACACGTACTACAGCAAAGCAGGCAAGAAATTTGCAGGCCAGGTTCTGGAGAAGTTTATCCTGATTGATTGTGACCAAGTTCTTGCTGGTACATACAGGTAAGAAAAAGTAGCAACTACTGTGACAGAGCCTGGTGACACTGACAAAATATTCATTACCAAAATACTGAGTAATGGAGCTCTTATTTTTTTTTTCCTCCATGATGATGATAGGATGTTTTTCCTCTTCATTTCCCCTTATAAATGTCAGATTTCATTTTGGTGCTTTACCTTCTTCTACTCCATCCCCTTCCTCTTACCTTGCTCTTTTCGATAGCATTAACTGCTTGTCTGCCAACGCTAAAAATTCCTGGACACATCTGTCTATGAGTATTGCTTAATTTCTTAAAAATGTAAAAAATGTTCTGCCAGGTCAGATGATGCTCCACCTCACCTAAATTCTGCTTCCAGCTGGGGCTGTTTAGGGAGAGCAGCCCAGACTGCTCTCTGTGCTCCATTCCCCTGGTCCTCCTGCAGCATACGCAATCGTTGCATACATCCCTGCTTACTCCCCTCAGCACCTGGTTTGTACCTACTTTCTGTGAATTTGCCCTAACTCATTGCCTGTTCTAAACCAATCTCATAGAATCCCAGGTTGGAAGGGACCTCAAGGATCACCTGGCCCAACCTTTATGGGCAAGAGCCCAGTCTAGACAAAATGGCCCAGCACCCTGTCCAGCTGAGGCTTGAAAATGTGCAGTGTAGTGCAGTCAACCCCTCCCCAGGAAGATTATTCCAGTAGATGACCGTTCTTATGGTAAAAAATTTCCCTCTCCTGTCCAGTCAGAATTTCCCCAAGAGCAACTTGTGTCCATTCTCCCTTGTCCTCTCCATGTGACTCCTTGTAAAAAGGGAGTCTCCATCTTCCTTGTAGCTACCCCTTAGGTACTGGTAGATGGTGATGAGATCCCCTCTAAGCCTCCTTTGCTCAAGGCTGAACAAACCCAGCTCTCTCAGCCCATCCTCATACGGCTACAAGAGGCTTCCCAGCTGTTGGGTCATCTTGGTCTCTGGACCTCCTCCAGCCTGTATGAAGTGCCCCTAGTTCTAGTGCTTCAGATTGGTAAAAAGGCTGTCCTACATTCAGCTAAGTCATTGCTTTCACAATTTGCCAAGCCTTTATCTTATCTACCCTCCCGGCAGTTTCCTTATCTAAAGTGAAGACTCTCCTCATACGGCAGCTGCTGCATCCCTCAATCATTTTAATGGTTGTTCTCTGCACCCTCTCTAACCTTGCTCTGTACATCTTGAGATGCAGAGACCAGAACTGCATGCAGCCCCCAAGATACGACTGCACCAAGGTCTTACAGATGGTCAAAATGATGCCCTCTGCTTTATTGTTACCACCCTTGCTGAGCTGACAGTGGCCCAACATTCCTTGAAATTTTTAGCTGCCATTGCACACTGAGCTGATGATTTCAGAGAACTGCTGACGATGATGCTGAACTCCTTCCTGAGCTGTTCCAGGTTCAACATCATACTGGCCTGATACAAATAATTTTTCCCTGTGGGTACAGGGTATGTCACATTTTCCTGCCCTGAAGGTCATCTGCCAGCTACTTGTCCATTTGCTCATTTCTGCAAGGTCCCTCTGGATTTCCTCACCTTCAGTGAGGTACCCAACCACCTGAAGGGGCTGAGGATCCTCTGCAAACCTGGGGATTTCACTGCACCCCTCCATCCCTGAGGTTACCCATAGGATGAAAACCAGTCCCAGCACCAGTCTCTGGGGCCTCACTGCTGACTCTTACCCATGCTGAAAAATGACCATTAGGCCCTACCCTTTGCATCTTACGCTTTCGCCAGCTCTCGGTCCATAACAAGACCTTTCCTCCATGCCCAAGGCAACTCAGTTTCTTAAAAGGCTTTGGTGCAGAACCTTGTCAAAGGCTGTTAGAAAACCCCAAAATACATGCTTGACTGGTCCCTTTATCCATGTGCTCACTAGCTCCCTTCCCGAGCTCCAGCAGGTCTGTGAGGCAGGGCTTGCCTTTACAGTAGCCCTGTTGACTTTCTTCCAAGAGGTTGTGCTTCTTCATGCCATCAGTAATCTTGTTCTTCACAGCACACTCTGCTATGTCCCAGGGTGGAGGTCAGCTCCAGTGGCACGTGGGCCTCAAGATTACATCCAGAGCCCTTGCTGTAGATGGAATCACACTGGAAACCTCCCAGTCCTCAGCAAAGCAGCCTTTGCAGTGGCCCTGGTATGCAGGAGTGAAACACGTCTCAGTGTCACCAGCAGTAGCAATGGATGCAAAAAATTCATTGAGGTTCTCTGCTGTGGTCTTGCCAACACTGAATGCCCCTTTTGACCCACAGGTCTCAAATGGGCCCACTCTTTTCTTAACTGCCAGTGCAGCATTCTTGAACGACCTACAAGCTGTAGTCATCTTGGGGTTTTTGGACTGCTCCTTTTCAGCTCTTTTTGACCAATTGCTGCATTTTCACATAGTTACCTTTCTTGAAATTGAATATCCACATGCTGCATTTACTTAGATTGCTCTGTCCCACTACAGAGTTAAAATTGTGTTGTGAGCGTTATTACAAATGGGCTCTTCCACTTCTACCTCTGGAACCACGTCTTACGCATCATTCCAGACCACATCCTGAATAGCAACTCTTCTTGTGGGTCAAACAATTTAGACTAATTAATTCTGGCAAGTAATCATCTATTGCTTCCAAAAAGTTTTTCTCCACAGCTCATCCCAGTGAAGCATTAACCTAGTATGTGCATGAGTGGATGAAATCTCCCACTGTTACCACCTGCCCTAATTTTGCAGCCCCTGTAATCCCAGTTAGCAATGTCGGGTTGGGAGTACTGTTCTTGTCCTATATTTTTATTATTAGACTCTGAGTTTTCCACTTACGGATCTTTCCCATGGTATTTTCACGCTGTTATACATCATATTATTGTCCTTCACAAACAGTGCAGCTACCCAAGACAGACTGTTCTGACACTTCTGTGAATTTGGTGCCCTGGCAATACTTTGTTCTCCTTCCACTGGGTCTCCTTGACCACTGCTCTCCCTCTCCCTTTCTCCCTCTTCTCCATCTCCCAGCCAGCACATGCTGGACCCTCAACCTACCAATGTAGTCATTGGTTCTGTAGCTCTAAGCTGCACCTTTTCCTCTGCTCTGACTCCATCATCTCTGAGTGCAGAGCTCTCATCTTATCAAACTCTGGCAGTGAAAAATGGAAGTACCCCATTGACACGGGTTACATGGAGCTGAGAGCAGAGTCTGGTGGCATTTTGACCACCCTAAGACATGTATGTAAGAACAATGGAATGGATCCCTGCCTGGAAACATCCGTCCATCTCCGTTACCGCAGGGGGCGGGGATTAGGTAACTGGGACCACTCATTTCTGAACGGCTAAAACTGAGCACGTGCCAGCTGGGCTGACCTCTGCAGCTGAAGGAACATCCTATTTCCCTGTGGCCCAGAGTCAGGGTATTGCTTAAAAGGCAGATGCGGTTCTCTGGGTCAGTTCCTCCCTCTGCTGTCCTGAGGCAGGGATTTGGGTCTGCCATGTGCTCTCTTCCTATAGATCTCTGTACAGCTGAAACTTCTTGAGTTCTGGAAGGTAATTAAGCAGTTGAATAGGGTCTTCTCACTGATTCTCTGCTGTCCCTGTAAGCATGTGATGTTCTGGACTAAAAGAAATGTTGTGGAATTTGTTCAACAGTGGTCAGAAACAGTTCCATGGGAGAAAATCGGGAAGTCTGCTGCTGGGTATATTCAGCCTGGTTCTACCTCTGGTATAATAGATATTTAGATGACTCCCTGCAGGTGGGAAAGTTAGATTCAAAGGCTGAGAACAGTTACTGCGTAAAGCCAAAAATCCAGGGTGGATCCAGGGGTGTCTCGGGATGATACAGGAAGGAGGGTAGGAGTGTTCTTACCCTGTGGCAGGTTTTACAGTTCAGCAATCTCATCTGCAAGGATCAGAGGTTTCAGAACCTCCAGGGCTATATGTTGTATGTGCTTCTTTATGTTCAATTTGCCACAGGAGACTTTTTCCCACCATGGTTGTCCTCCACGATACCCTCTGGCAGCAGGTTATGCAGTTTAATTTATGTTTTGTGTGATGAAGTGACCCACTGTATTTACATTAGACCTACTGCTAGATAATTATATTTGATGCCCCCAAATCCCCATAACCTGGGCACAGTAAATCACTGTTTCCTATTTACTTTCTTGACTGCATCCATGATTTTGTCCTCCATTATAATCCCTCATGTGGATCATCTCTTCTCCAGCTGAAGTATCCTTGGCTCTTCAGTCATTTCTCTTGCAGGAGAACTTCCATAACGTCTACCTTTTGTGAGACAAATTGACCAGGATGGCATGAAGCGGTCACGATATCCCCACTCACTGCACTTTAGCGTTGTGGTATAATGGCGACTTCTGTCTTTTCCTCGGTCCCCATTCTGGCAGCTCTTAGTTTGCCTTTTTGTCTGGTGCTAAACATTGAAATGACCATTTTTTTGAACTGTCCATGGGAACTCTGACCTCTTTCCTAAGTTGTCGTGGTTTAACCTGGCTGGCAACTAAGCACCATGCAGCCACTCGCTCACTCCCTCCTCCCTCAGTGGGATGGGGGAGAAAATCAGGAAGAAAAAAAGGTTAGAGTGGTGGGATGAGATAGAGACAGTTTAATAAGATAAAATAATAATAATAGTAATAATGAGAATGGTAAGAGAATATATAGAATATACAAAATGAATGATGCACAATGCAATTGCTCACCACCTGCCGATTGATGCCCAGCCTGTCCCAAGCAGCGATCACTCCCTGAGCCACGATCACTCCCCGAGCTGTGATCACTCTCCCTGCAACCGACCGACTAACCCCCCCTGAGCATAATGTTATATGGTATGGAATAGCTCTTTGGTCAATTTGGGTTAGCTGTCCTAGCTGTGTTCCCTTATGGCTTGTTATGCACCTGGCCGAGCAAGAGAAGCTCAAAAAGTCCTTGAGTAGTCTAAGCACTACTTGGCAACAACTGAAAACATCAGTGTGTTATCAACATTCTTGTAGTACTAAATCCAAAACACAG